CACACACACACACACACACACACACACACACACACACACACACACACACACACACACACACACACACACACACACACACACACACACACACACACTGACGATGGGGACGAGGAGCAATCCGTAGCAATGGCAACCAGCGGTGGTAGACACAGATGACAAAGGTTGACCGACCATTTCTCCCTCACGTCGGAGCACCAGCATGCCTGCCGGGTGAATGCCCGCTAGTCATTGCACCATGATATACACTTGGCTCTCAGCGTCCAGTACCTCTACCCAGGCTATAGGGTGTTCCTGGCAGGAACATCATTCTACAATTCACCTGCGGCGCCTGAATCTAACCTGGTATCTGCCTACATTCCGTCCCTGGATCATCATGACCTATGTAAAGCTACCGGAACCTCCTACTACTCCTAGGCCTACCTGAGTTACTGGAACATCCGACCAGGTCATATCAAATTCTACTTCTACCCCTGTCCATCCTAGAATTTCCTAGGTCGATCTGGTGTCCAATTTCAGTGAAGTTTCATCATGGCTGCCTTTTGGGTGAAAGAAGGCCAGTAGCCAAAGCCGGGTAACGGCCCCGGTAGTTCGTCATATTTGGTCATATTTTGTCATATTCTGCTCTGTGATCCCCGAGACGCTGGGCCCGGTTTCCAGCAGGTGATGCCGCCCACCAATCGATCGGAGCAGCCTCCGGCAGCTACTAGGGGGAGGCGCTCATATCGCCCTGCTGACCTCAACACCAAGTTTGCTTTGAGCGAAGATTGTCGCCTTGCTAAGAACCCCACGGCAAGCCATGGTACGACCGTTCAGACCATAGGCTAGTACATGCACCCGGACTTACGTTCTTTATCGTAAGAGTACCACTAGAAGCAACTTGGTGATGTACTACCGACCTAGGCTAACAGAACCATTCCCAAAGTAACAAAGGAAAAGGCCAGCAAGATGGAAAAGACGGTAAACGTCAAAAAAAAAAAAGGAAGAACCAGGCAAAGCAGCAAGCCATAGGATGATATGCAGCAGGAAAGGGCAAATGCTGGAGGGCATTGGGGGGGCGGGAGGGCAGACGACACACAAATACACCAAGGAGACGACACACGAGGGAAAAACACGATGCAACAAGACATAGCATGACAAACAGCAGCAATGGACAAAGGCTGGAGGGCACGGGGGAGGGGGGGGGGGCAGACGACACACAAGTATACCAAACTGAGAGCACACAAGGTACTCAGGGAAAGACATGAGGCGACAAGACATAGGAAGCAAGGGACAAAGTCTGGGGGGCACGGGGGAGGCGGGAGGGCAGACGACACACAAGTATACCAAGGAGACAACACAAGAGTATACCCCGCAGACAACACACAAGCACACCAAGCAGACGACATACAAGCACAGCAAACAGACCAAGCAGATGACACACAAGCACATCAAGCAAACGACACACAAGCACACCAAACAGACCAAGCAGACGACACAGAAGAACACCCAACAGACAAGCTTAAAAAAACACAAGTCTAGAAAATTTTCAAGGACTGAAAAAAATAAAACTGATAATAGACTGTTTCGTCGGAGTTGCACCGACTCATCAGGAGGCTGAACCCTCGACAATCTGTGGAATCTCCGTATTGATGGTTTGGGTCATGAACCCTTTGACCCTTGTTGAAGGCAGACTGTCCCCCAAACGGAACACAGCAGCAGGCAGCAACCCTGCGGAGCACCAGGCAATGCTGCAGAGGCAACACGGCTGCTCAGCGCCAAAGACGACTGCAAGGAGCGACATGGCAAGCGGACGAGCAGCACAGCAACCGTGCGGTGAAGCACACGGCAGCACAACCAAGGTAGCCAAAAGGCACAACACACAAGCAAAGGACACGGGAGGAACAGCATGCGGATGGGCAGCAAGGCAGCAGTGCAGCGAGGCACAAGGCAACACCACTACCGCAGCCACACCACACCAGAGATGAGCATTCGTTTTTTGAATTGGCAATTCACCCAACCCACCCACATTTTTTTAAGCATAGCCCGCCCTCAGAAAAAAAAGAAAAAAAAAAAAATCTCAAGGTGACCCAACCCACCCAAACGTTTTTTTGAAATTTTCCTCCCACACCCAACCGGCCCGTCACCCATGAAAAACCTTCACCCTGACCCACCCACACCCGCAAGAAAAAAATCACCCGCCCGCACCCGGTACCTAATTATTTTCCACCTGCACCCACCCGTTCCCCATTGTCTCAGTCCCTTTGAACATTTACAGGTACCATAGCAACATGACATCCTTGGATGGCGGCGCAAAAAAATGAAGTATCTCCACCTTGCGCCGTACTTGGATGACGGCACGGAAATTCAAAGCACTCCACAAGTTTGAAATTGGGGAGCGAACCTTGCCACTTGCTGTGGTTAGGTTCCATCCCCGTTGTTTTGATGGGAGCAAACATCCCCTGGTCCAGCTGCCACTGGTAGAGCGTGACACATTTTTTCAAGGGGGACCCCAAATTTCGATTTGCAACTGGCGTGGCTCTTTTTTTTCGAGGACCACAGCTTTTTTTTCCAGGGGGCCCAAGGTGGAGACTTTCCGTTTCCTAGGGCTCCAACTTTTGAACTCCACAGATGGACCACAGCTGGAAAATACATAAGGGCGGGGTGGGGTGGGGTGGGGTGGGGGGGGGGGGGGGGGCGGGGGGGAGGGTTCTTATGGGTTGTCCTGGGTCTGCGGGTCGGGTTACCCAGGAGTAGCACTCACCGGCCTGTCACCCACCCATTTGGGTGACCCAGGCCTAAAATTGACGTGCCCGTCACCCACCCAGGCTTGCTTGCATAGACCCACCCTCATCCCACCCATCCCAGCTTATCAAGACCCACACCTGACCCGACGCTGGGGCGGGTGCGGCTGGGTGTGGACCTGGGTACCCGTTGCTCATCTCCGCACCACACAGAGAACACAGCAGCTTACAAAGAACCACATGTGAAGCAAGCAGGGCGGGCAGCAAGGCAGCGAGCGCAGACGAGGCAGTCCACATATCCAACACAGAGCAAAGCGGCACATCCCGATTGAACCCCGCAGACTGCTGGTTCCCACCACCCGTCACATATCCAACACAGAGCAAAGCGGCACATCCCGATTGAACCCCACACACTGCTGGTTCCCACCACCCGTTGAGCCAGGGAGGTACTCCGATGGACATCTATCATCCACTCACAGAACACATGCACCGGAGACATCACAGACAGAGTGTCCCCCCTAAGAGTCCTGCAGGCACTCCAAACCGCCAGCTACTGACTACTTAGCACTTGTTAAAGGTGCTCACCTTGACTTACAAAAGTACTGAGAAAAAATAAAGAGAGAAGAAATACATACATATACAGGGTCACCAGCCCGTACATACGGAGGTCCCCGGACAGACCTCCGTACGTACGGGCGGGGTCCCGTACGGGGCCCGAACCCGGCGGCGTTTGGCCCCCGCCAAAAATTATTTCAGGGCCTAAAAATAATTATTTTTTTCTGATTTTTTTTGTGTGAGTTCTCTATGACGTGAGGTACATGTCTGTAAATTTTCAAGTCATTTGGCTAAGCCAAATAAGAATTAAAAATCACCAAAGATGGTGGTGTCAAAACGTGCTCGCTTACGTATTTTTTCACTTTTTACTTTTTGTTTTCACTTTAGTTCGGGGTCTAAACAATTTTATTATTTTTTTGAGACTTTTTTAGTGGGTTTTGTATTACTCCTTTGACCAGGTAAGTTGGGACCAAGGCGAAGCGATTTGGACAAACAAAAATTCAATTGGACAATCGTCAGACCAAATTGGTCAGTTCGATTTTCCTATTTAGTACATGATCGGAACCAATTTGGACAGCCGATATAGGTTGGGATAAGTGATGAGCATTTTGGACATATCAGATTGAGGTTGGGAGAAACGATGAGCATTTTGGACATACTGGATATAGATTGGGATAGATGACGACCATTTTGGACAGAATGATTTAACAGTTTGGACGCCTGACAGAGTTAGGCAGATTGATTTAACAAATTAGTATTGCCAATACCACATTTAGTTCAACAGTCGACCGATTTGAGATTCTGCGTACACCATCAGGACCAACAAAGATATCAATTTCGAGGAATCGATTTTGCATATGAGTCACATGTGTCTGAATCACGGGTCTGCTACTCCCGTAAACTGTCGACCTAGTAGAACTTCGCCTCGATTAGCTTTGCCGAAGTTTCGTGTCACCTCTCTAATCCATCCTTTGCACATCCACCTAGGCGAGAGGCAGGTACAACCGCATTGACGATGTTCAGAGGCGAAAGAGCATCGAGAGAGCATGCATATGGGTTCTCTTGTGCAATCAGATCATCGAACCCACGGGCACGTGAACGGCATCTCAGGCACGTGAACGGCATCTCAGGCACGTGAACGGCATCTCAGGCAGGTGAACCGCATCTCAGGCACGTGAACGCACAAGGCCAGTGGCTCGATGCTCGGCGGAAGTGAATGCAGGTTGATGGATGCACGCAGCACACGCAAGAGTGCATGCACATGGGTAGCCGTACCTAGGTGGATGTGCGCAGGACACGTGAGCGACACACGACTTTCTGTGGGCCCCACCAATTTATGCGCTCGTGTCGCTCACTCTGTGGGCCCCACCAATTTATGCGCTCGTCAGTCTAAATCATTCTGTCCTTTGACGAAGGGCACAGTGGGTCCGTCCAAGTTTCTAGAATACCTGTCCATATCGGTTCACAAGATGTCCTATTCTGAACTACCGGTCCAAGAAGCTTCTACAAGAATCTAAAACGCTTGGACTACATGTCGGATTCCAATCTACCGGTCGAAGAAGCTTCTACGAAACTCCAAATCGGTTCGCCGTTTGTCTAACTTCACCTAATTTGATAAAAAAAAACATCCAATTCCAATCTGGTGGTCCAAGAAGCTTCTTCCAAATTCCAAATCGGTTCGCCGTTGCTCTAACTTCGACGCGTTCACCTAATTTGATTAAAAAAAAATCCAATACGGTATTGTTTTTGGCGAGAACCTGGTAGGGCCTGCCCATTTCGGTTCACGATATGTCCAAATAGCGGCAGTATGCATCTAACTTACCTGGTCAAAGGAGTATGTGAAGTACACATCTGTAAATTTTCAGGGCATTTAGCTTGCCAAAAAAAAAAGAAAAATCGCCAAAGATGGCCGTGTCGCACTCACTAAATTTAATTCTCTTTTTATTTTTATTTATTTTTATTATTAGTATTTATTTTCCGTATTTTATTTTTATTTCAAATTTTGTAAGGAATTCGGATGTAATGCTCAGGCAAATCTTGTTTAATTTATTTTTCTCCATAACATATCTTTTTTCAGATTTTTTGGATACCTTTTTTTTTTTTTTTTTTTTTT